TTTTTCATGGGGTTAAAATTCCAAACATATATGTTTAAAGTTTGTTAGTTCTCCAGAGGAAGAAACTGAATAGTATCAGACATTTTGATGTTTTACAATGATCATTTCTCCAATTATGGTATAGGGAGGGGGAGCCATACACAAGTGAACAGTTTTCAATTCTTGCATTTGAATACTCTCATCTTTATCTGGAATCAATTTGAATTAAACCCAGTAATAAAATTTATTTTATGTATGTTACATATAAAATTATTCTTAAAGCTGAAACTACTATTCAAGTGATAACAGACTGGCCTTTTGTATGCTTCCAGCAGTGACAGCATTGTAAAAGAAAATTCAAATGTTTTTGGCCACATTCAGGAACCAGTGTCAGGCTTCTAAAGAAGACTTTCTTCTTTTTAGCCAAACTTTTGGAACTTGAAACATTTTTTAAAAAATAAGGTTTTGGAACCAAAATCTTTTAAAACAAACAATCTGTTTTTCATATCACTATGTCATCAACCAATGTCACCAATGTCAAAATTTTTTTAATAGGCCCTACAATAATTTTGTAGAAATATAAATTATAGCTTAAAATAATGTAATAGTGTTGAATGCACAAATAGCTGCAAAACTATGATATTAAATCATCTCTAAATAATGGATCATTTACGAGTGATATTTCCAAGCAGTGGAAATTGCTTCTGCATCTTGCTATTTATACATATATAAATAGCATCTTGTCAAACATGGAGATATATAAGAGCTCACATTGTGAGCTTTTATATATCTCCCATGTTTATAGCATTCTTGGTTTATCAGTGTTCAATGTTTTCTTAATTAATTTGGTATCATCCCATTGCACTAACACCCTGGGCTCTATTGTATATTGGTCCAGAGTTGTCATTGTTTTGTCATTGCTCACGAAGAGGATATGTATAAATAGCAAAGATGCAGCTGTCACTGCTGGAAGTGTATGAAAAGCCAGTTTGTTGTCACTTGTATGTTAAAGTGATTTTACTATAAAAAATATAACTATGGGACATTTATTGGATATAGTTTAATAATAATAAAAAAAATAGTAATAATAAAAGTCCAAAAAACCAAAAGCTAATATATAAAAGAAACTTTTATGCAGAAACAAACAAAGAAACATTTATTATTTTAAATGGTCATTATCAGGTTAGATTACTTTTAAAATAGAATGAACATGATGGAAGATACAATTTTAAAAATTAGAACATGTCATTGATTGGAGAATGTTGTATATGTTATGGACAAAGTGATTAATCGGGCATTATGAATAATGACCAAATATATGAGGGCAGTGTGATAAATATTGATTCATTTATCAAATTGACCGGTCATTATGAATACTGCTATCACCTAGTCGGGCAAAGTGATAATAATAAGTTGAGGAGTGATCATCTGACATACGCTAGCCAATCGGCACGCTGAGTTGCGTGTGCGTATCGTACAGCGTTTAGTACAGAATTTTAAATTTGATTAAAAAAACCCCACTTATTTCATTTAGAAATATTTATTTTTTGTAAATTATATTAAAGTACTATTAACTATATTAATTAAACTAATATTAACAAAAAGTATTATTAACAATTTTTGGCATAAATTATATAAAAAATTAAATGTTTTTTAGTTTATTTATTTGAGCAATTAAGATTTTCATGACATTTGAAATTACATAATGTTTTTTTTTGGTAGCATTTGCATCTTAGATTTTCAACCAATTTTTCAGCAGCATTAACTATAGTTGTGGGCTTCAGAAATTGATGACATTCTTGCACATTCTCTAAGCGAAATTTCTGCACCTGGTACATCTCCAACAGAAATGAAGTTTTCTTTACAAACAGTAAATTGGTTTCTGGAATATAAAAGATTTAATATGCCATGTTTGGTACCCAGTTTGTAAAGGTTTTTATCTTTAACTGCAACAATGACACCTAAAATATTTTTTCCATCACTGCAGGCTCGATCTACATCAGGTACACGAATCCTTACTGTATCACCAACAATAGCTGCTGTTTATTTGGAATTTGATGTATTAATCATTTTTTCTGCTTGCTTTTTAAGATTAAACAAAGACAAAGCCCTTATTTTAGACACGCTTCTTATTTTTTCTTCTATTTTTGGATCAATTGTTTGGATTGTTTCTTATTCATTCACCAATTCTGTAATACTAATAACATCCTGGTTTAGATTTTTTTCACATGAAGACGATGTAGATTTTTGAACTTCATCAGTTATATTGCTATGTAAGGGTAGCATTATCAAATAATATTTCATAATGTTTTCTTGGACGGTACCCGGACTTTCAGCGTTTGAGCAACTTTGACTTACTTCGTTGATAGTTTTAAAAAGTCTCTGTGGATCCTCTTCTGTATTAATGTTGAACAACGATTCGTTGGGTATAAAATTCTTTAGTCCAACTTTTAACTTTGCTCCAAACATGGCCTCTTAGGGGCTGCAGTTTATACCAGTATGGTGCGCTCGATTTTTCATCAGTAGTACAAAACGTAATCCTTCCAACCATTTGTTAGTATTATTAATCTCCAACCAAGAACTAAGCATATTTTCTACGTCTTGATTACATCTTTCTATTGAACCCTGACTTTGTGATTGCCTGGGCTTTCCATGCACCATTTTTAACTTGGACCACATATTACACATTTCTTTGATGATGATATTGGCAAATTCTCTGCCATTATCGCTTTGTAGAATACTCGGTGCACCAAAAATTGTAAAAAATATCTAAAAGAACATATGCTACTTCTTCAGCCCTTTTGTTTTTAACTCGTTTAATCGGTTATTGAAGCGATTATTCATATCACTTAATGATTCCTCCATGATCATTACTTTTGTCAGAGAAGAAAGATTAACTACTGGTCACATAAATTTAAAATTCGATACTAAATGCAGTATGCGTGAGCAAGTAAGATGTAAGTTCTGATTGGCTAACGTATGTCGGATGATCACTCCTCAACGTATTATTATCACTTTGCCTGACTAGGTGGTAGCAGTATTCATAATGGCCGGTCAATTTGATAAATTATTGAAATTTATTACAATGCCCAATTTTGTTGGTCATTATTCATAATGCCCGGGCATTATTCATAATGTCCATATTAATCACTTTGTCCATAATATATATATGATGACATCTGGTAACATAAGAGAAAAACAATGTGAAACTTATATGTGTAAGGGAAAAAGTCTGCATCTTTGAAGTGGATAGCAAAGGTTTTCCTAGTAGCTTTATAAATTTCTAATTTTTCCAAGTAGTGTACTTAGATGGACCTGGTTGTTAGTATGATGGATGATGCAGCTGTATATGCTGCTCAGTAGTGGTGAGGCATTTTTGGATGGATGTATGATGTTCTTTGAGGCATGTAGTCAATGGATGTGCTGTAGTTCCCATGTCTTCAACCACTGGTTGACTCGTTAATTGGTAAGAAGGATGATGTACACCAGGTAGGGGATTCATTTCAGAATTGTCTTTGGCTTCCTTGAGTAATACAAAAACTGTAGGGCTATGAGATGCACTTTCTTGATCTATGTTTATCACTACATTTCAACAAAAGTGTACAGGAATCCATCCTACAATCTACTCTTCATCCTGGCCCCCTCCACTATCCATATAAATACAAGGTGCCTGCTTTTGGAGCCCTTATTGGAGAAAAACCTTCTCTCACTCTTCCACAGCTTAGAAAAAAGAACAACTTCAGTAAATTGCTCATCTGACCAATAAACATGGCTATTCCTCTAACATAACATCAAAGGTTTCATTCATCACCACCATCCCACTATACCTCATATTCTCTTTCAGGATAAGACATCCAAAACAGTTGCTTACAAAAGGCTGTTTGGCTTCTACAACGATATTGTGAGATACAACAATGTACCCCTCACCTTCAGAAGGAGCCCTACAGTTTTTGTATTACTCAAGGAAGCCAAAGACCATCCTGACTTGAAATACTTATTTGGAGTATACATCATTCTTCTCATCAATAAGAGTCAACTAGCAGTTGAATACGTGGGAGCTAAAGCACATTCATTGACTACATGCCTCAAAAACATTGTACTGTACATCCACCAAAAAGGCCTCACATCACTGCTCTAGCATCATATGTGGCCACATCCTTTATTGTACTAACAACCAGTTCCAGCTAAGTACAGTACTAAGAAAATTTGAAATTTATGAAGCCTCTAGAAAGGCCTCTGCTATTAACTTCAAAGATGCAGACTTCTTTCCTTCCACATGAAAGTTTCGCATCACTTAATTTTTCTCTGATGTCATCATGTATACAGCATTCTCCAATCAACATGTTATAATTTTTAAAGTTGTATTTTCTGTCATGTTCATTCTATTTTAGAACTAATCTAACCTGATGATGGTTGTATAAAACAAAGAAAACATTTCTCATTTCTGCATTAAGGTTCCTTTTATGTGATGGGTTTTAGTTGTGTATTATTAATATATTCCAGTTTATCAAGTGGTTAATTGCATTAAAAAGAAAAAATACTAAAATCTGTTCATAGTGGAAATCTGCCAAAACAAAAAAAATAATTTAGTACCATGCAATTCCAATTTACACAAATTTTACTGTTTTAATTTATTATTATAGTGTTACCCAAGCTGGTCTTTAGCAAGCTGATCAACCTGTTAACTATTTTCTCAGATCAATTAAAAATCTTTATTATTTTTAAGTTTTTAAGATAACCGAACTTTGGATTAATATGCTATTGAGTGTTATGAGTATTTACACTCACTCTCCAGAACCTGTAACTGGTGCGTGACGCATATATATATTTCTCTATTTAAATGTTATGAGTATTGTTTTTATATTAATTAATGATATATAAGGAAATTTTCAGTAGCAGTTAGCTAATATTACAGATCATTTACCTAAAACTTTTTTCTGATGTAAATGTTGTATAATTTGATTGCAATAATAATAATTTTTGTAAGATATTAAGAAATTAACAGAAAGTTTATTTAATAGGCATATTTTCCAAATTCATTATTATTTTATGCTTCTGGAAATGAACCTCATCATAATTATTTTAGTGCTGTGATTTTAAATGATGGTCTTTATTTTGAAATGAGCCTAGGAGATGAAATGTTAAATGCTACTATGTCTAACATTGTTCTTGGAAAGTAAGTTTGATTTACATTTTTCATAAGAATGCATTCAGCCTTAAATTTTTAATGATTAAAGATTTTAATATTTTGTTGTATTGTTTATGTAATTCTGTGCGTGTCTGATATATTTTAGTTTTTAAAATTGTTCTAACCCAGCGATTCCCAACCTGTGGTACGCGTACCCCTAGGGGTACGCGATAGGTTGTTTAGGGGTACAGAAAAATGTTAGTTATTATGGTAGAAAAAATAATATATTATGTATCACAAACTAATAGTATTAAAAAATTATTAGGTAAAAAATGTTCCTTGCAACAATCACAACTTTATTATACATTTTTTCTTTTAGTTTTTTTTTTCTTTAATTTAAAGTTACAATATGTAAAATTAACAATACGGTTACTTACTAAATTTCTTAAATGAGGGGTACAATCTAGAGATATGACATGTCACGGGGTACAATCTAGAGATATGGCATGTCACGGGGTACGCTAATGAAAAAAGGTTGGGAACCACTGTTCTAACCTTATTCTATATTTGAAGTATGAATATTTTTGAAAATTTGCATATTAATAGTTAATAAATTTTTAATTTCAAGTGCATTGTATATAGCAGGGGTGGCCAACCTGCGGCTCGCGAGCCACATGCGGCTCTTCGAAGGATTATTTGTGGCTCTCGATAAATGTACTGTACCCGAGTTCCCTTTTCATTTTTGTGTTATTATATTTTAAAAAATTATTATCGTCCGTATGTGTTTCAAAATGTCTTTTAAATTACTAACAACAAATATGAAAGACTAAGTGCAACGTTGTAACAAATTTCATTTCCGTCCAAGTTAAGAATGATATGACTCATTGAAAACTGCGCGAACGAACATAAACAGTGGCGTAATCGTCTTTATCGACCGACTCCAGACCGATTTTGAATTTGTAAACTGTCATTGCAATGGACAGTTGACATTGTGCTCTGGAGGAAACAATTTGTATCACTCTTGCTACGGATATATTTTGTAATCTGGAATTTTTTGCATACCTTTAATTGCGGCTCGCGAAAAATTTCAAATTTTGAAAAATGGCTCGGACTATCAAGGAGCTTGGCCACCCCTGGTATATAGGTTCATTGCCTTTTTTTTTTATAAAAGAAAATAAATCTAATAATTTTATGTTGGTAGAAATAAACTAGTCATAGGAACTCATAAAAATATTAAAACTATTAGAGAAATTAAGTTCTAATTCTGGATTAAAAGTTTTTGAGATATTAATATTTCATTATTAGATGAAATACTTTAAGAACATGAAATTCTAAAATTTTGTAATGAAATTCATATTTCAGTAACATTTGTAACTTAAATCAACATTTGATCTGATAATGATCTTTGGTGTCTTGAAAAATTTTTAATCCAGAATTAAAACTCATGACTTCTTGAACAAACAGCTTCTTCAAAGATAATCTTCAATCTGACATTCTTAAATTAAACAAATCTTTAAGATCTTTAAATTTACTAATTAATAGCACAAAAACTAAAGTAATGATTTATAGTCTAGTGAAAATTCATACTAATATTAATTTATATGTAGAAAATCAATGCATACAGGTAGTCAATTCTCTCTCTGATCTTGGGATCACATTTGACTGTAAACTTGCATATAAAATTCATATTGATAATTTACTTTTAAAAATTCTAATACATCAAGGTATGCTTTGGTGTAATTTTAAAACTATCTCAAATAAGAATACATTACATGCCATTTTCTCTTACTAACATCCAGTCTCATCGATTATGTTTTACCTGTTTGGGCTTCTGCATCTCCTTATCTGTTAACATTAAACACATGTAATTCCCAAATAGGTAAAATGTTTCTTTTACTTAACAAACTGGATCACTTACTATACACAGATCTTCCTGAAGTTGCATGATTTCGCTTAGGTTTACCAAATTTATTTAAATGTATTTATTGCTTTGATCAAATCCTTTACATACAAACTCCCATCTCATTACATCAACTTATATATTAAGTCAGTCAGTACAAGACAGTCTACCTGTATTTCTGTTCCTTTTTGCCATCTTGTTGTTTCCACCAAATCCTTTTTCTGTCATTACCATAAAGTTATTAGTATAATTGAAGATAAACTTTACATTGATTTCCATAAATTTAAAGTGTTTTGACAGAACAAAAAAAATATTGCGGTACAAAGAATACTTGTCAAAAACTTAAATACTAATTATACTAATAAAAGAAAGAAGGAAAAAAGGATAGATAATAGGATAAGTAGATATATAGTGCCAAGCAAAAATGGGTACCCTATAGTTGACGATTGAGGTGGTGGTAGTCGGGTGATATTGTTCTGGATGGTGGGGAACGATTGTAGGTGAAATTTGATCAATACTCCACTATAACCCTTTGGATGTCCTTAATTCAAGATACTCCTTTCCTCTCGGGTTTCGGATTTTTAAAAAAAACCTTTCATCACTTTCTCCCGCCACTGCAAAAACGACCTGGAGACCTCTTCAACGCATCTTCTCTCTTCAACATTCCAGTCCAAAAGTGGACTTACGTGTCTCTCCTTTTGCTCTCTGGGCTACTCCTTTCTTTTGTTCACTAACCAGGTCACCCACCATCCACACTTGGAAGAAAGTTCTAGGAAGTTATATACAAAAGAACAAAGAAGGAAGGAAGGGAAAATATATATGGACAAAATAATAAATATACTGGTATACCACCACACTAGCCCAACCCTTGTATAAAAATGTTATTGTACAAATATAAACATCCATTAACCTGATTTTTAGATTAATGCCAAATGATTGCCAGATTACAGTAGGCTATAATAATATTGTCATGATAAAAATCGTCTGGATGTACAATTCTCGCGCTTTTCCTGTTTTGAACGAGCAACGGCGGTCGTCATGGAAACGTGGATCAGATGATGTTGGAAGTTTTGGAATTCGACCGCGGATTGGCTAGAAAACATTGTACGACCAGCGGACGTCCAATAGCACTACTAAGCTGATTGGAGGACTTACATTCGTTTCAATCCAATATAAAAGGATTGAATTTAGGCAGGAAGTTCAATTCTCCTAGGACCTGATAAGGGAACGGGAGTTCGCCTAGGGCCTGGTAAGGGAACTCAAGTCTGCTGAAGAAGGTGCTTTGTTTCGCCAACTTGTTGAAACTGTCCCAAGGGAGTTGTCGCAAGGAGTCCTTTTCGACAGACCTGTTGTTGTGGATGTGGTTTAATTGACTTTTGAACTTTGCTATATCTGAATTATTGTAATTCTTTTAGGTTTGTGGAATTCATAACCAGCGGTGATATTCGAAATATTTAACAAAGGGTTCGCTAGAAACTTTTTCCTTAACAATTTTTTTTTTCGCTGAAATGATGCATTAGCAACATTAGCGCAAAAAATTTAAGATACCCATATAAATAAAAAAGATGCGTTCGCAAAAATAAGTCAGTTAAAATTTAACATTTTTAATGCCAGAACTAATTTTTTTTTTTTTTGATAAATAATAATAGTGTTCAAAATGGTTTATTTTGTACATATTTTATTACGACACGTGTTCCACAGCCAACTTGTATTTTCTCGCGCGCGTGGGATTGTGGGATCTCTCTTATGCTGGGGTCGTATTCTGGTCACCGTCTCTTGTCTTTCGTCTCTCACAAGACGGTCTTTGATTGGCTATTCATTTGGATTAGCCAATGAAAGACCGTCTTGTGAGAGACGAGAGACCAGAGACAGTGACCAGAATATGGCCCCTGGATCTAGTTTCAAGAAAGCTCTTGAGTCGACCGCGATTGAACCTCGTTTCACTCGAGATTGAAACAGTCCAGGGAGGTCGCATCAAGGCGAATGGAATATAGGACTCTAGTTTAGTAGTGTTACAGAGTATATAATACGTATATTTTAATATATTTTTTAAAAGAAACAAAACCACTGATAAATGTTGTGTGTGTTTAACAAGGTTCGGAAAACTTTGAAAATGTTAACAACGGGTTCGGCCGAACCTGTGCGAACCCGCTGAATATCACCACTGTTCATAACTGTATGTAAGTTTTCATAGTTAATATAAACATTTGTCAATTGTGAACAAGTGGGTTGTGAACTTGACTAATATGTAATGTATTTATGAGATGTGAGTGGATTGAGAAATAATATGTACATATTCAATGGTAGCAACCAAAAGAATGTGTTGTTTATTGACAGGGAATTGTGAGAATCTGGAGACGGAGTATAAATTTTATTACGAAAAATCAATTTTATCAATCAGTCTAGATAAACTCCTTCGTGAATTAAATATGAAAAACTTTTTCTTTCAAATATAAAACTACATTAATAGATCAAAGAAATTAAATTAAAATATTTCTATGTATAATGTCCTTTTAATCCAAAGAATTTTTCTTGGTAGACAATCTTACAGCATTTTGGTTAGAAAATTACAGTTTTATTTTAAAAATTTGAACTCATATGCATTTCAGGTTGGCTTATGTTTCCAACCTCTCTTCAGTGCTGTTAAAAAAATATACAAATTGTAATAAAGGACACGACATTATTTAAATATTGCATAAAAAGATTTCTACAATCCAAAACTTATGTCTCATATAATGGTACATATTAAAAAACTATTTCTATATTTTTATCTTCCTTAGGTGTATAACAATTCACTATAAGATGGCTGTAAGATCATCTACTAAGAAAAATTCGTTGGATTAAAAGGACTTTTTACATAGAAATTGAATAAATATGATCACTATATATTATGAAAAATTTTGAAGTTTTATGTTACTTAAAGTTAACAAAACTGTACAAAATTTTTTTCTTTATTATAATGTAGACATGATTATCTCTCTTTAATTTGAGACTGTTATTTTTAAATTTAATCATTTCAAAGAAAAAAATTAAATACAATAAAATGCAAAAAACAATGAATTGATGAATGATGTAATAAGTTGGTATGTAAAATAGTTTTTCCTGCTCCAGCTACTACAAGATTAGTTAATTTCCTATTGATGCTTGACTAATGTCTGATTAGATTTGAAATAGAAAAGGAATAATAATGGAAAACATTACAACTATAGATCATATCATATTACATCATTAAGATCATGAGATTACAATCACATCAAAAATGTTTAAGTTAAAAAATAATTCCAAATTTATTAATTATTGAAGTTATCAAGAGATGACAACATCTGTGCATATGGTATAAATTTACTAATGATTGATTGATTTAATTAGCCTTAAAGTTTTTGGCATAATTATTACTTAACAAATACAGATAGTTTAAATATATATATTTTTCATTGTGCATTAAATATTAGAATGGTTATAACAAAGATGTTCTGTATCTTTTAATAGGTGGCATAATTTTACAATGATTCATCATGGAAAAGAAATAACTTTAATTCTTGATTCCACATCAGTCACACTGTATAATAGTGGACCTCATTATCATTTGAATATTGACCCATATTTATTTATTGGAGGGATATCGGTTAATTCTAAAGGTATGATTATAAAATTATTTATATATCTTTTTATTTTAAAGAATGTTTTAAATATTTGAGTTATGTATATATACATATATTTAGGCCCTAAATTTGGATATAACTTTGTGGGATGTTTGAAAGGCGTTTATTTTAACGATAAAGATATTTTGTTTTCTTTGAGAAGTAACGATGGTGTGGTACGTCATCACAGTTTATTTCCCATGCAATTTGGATGCCAACACATAGCATTTATTCCTATGACATTTCCCTTTGTGGAGTCACAAATAGTGATAAATAGTTCATCAAATAGTATACATCAAGTTTCTTTTGAATTTAAAACTACAGAAAAGAATGGCATTATATTTACTGCTAATATAAAATTGAATTCTTCTGCAGGATTATGGCAGGTATTATTTTTTTATTTATATTATTCATTTATTTATTATAATTATTTTTACATTTTTTTGTTATTATTTTATTTTTTTATTGATTTCCATTGTTTAAAAATTTATGTATATTCTGTTTAATTTGGAATGTTATATATGTTCAATTCAGTTAAGTTATTTTTGTTCTAACCAGTATGGTGGAGTCAGTAAATAGTCTGACTCTGACTTCAACCTATCCCTTTTTTAAATGTGAGAAAAGACACCACTGGGTATTTGAACATTTTTACCTAAAATTTCTCTATAAAAACTATTAAAATTTATGACAAAAAAAATGGATATAATAAATTTATCTTGGAAAAGCTTTCAAATACATAAAGAAACATACTACATCTTAACAATCAAAAGAATTCCACTTTTATTACTTAACCTTTCAACAGTGGGATAGTCAGGTATGGTGCTACCCCAGAGTAGTGGAGAATAAATGTGGGAAATTTTTAAAGTATTTTTCTATGCATTTTTTCTCATTACCGTTTCGTGAAAAGATTTTGTAACCAATTACATCTAGTAAAGAAAAGTCTTTTTTTATTGTTACATAATTCATTTTTTATGTGAATTTTTTTCATGGTAGTTTTTGGCAATACCCCCAAAAGAATTTAACGGATATATCTGTCCCTCACCACTGCCACAATTGCCGTGGATGGATATATCCATCCCTCACTGTTGAGTGGTTAATTATCAAAAATTGATTTAAATTTAGTCATGAACATACTAACCTTATATTTCTCCCATCTGGATGAAGAAAAAATTAACACAAATGTGAAAAAAATGCTGAGATACATATAAGAGTAGTGTGTTCATTATTTTATTTACTTTTCTTGTTTGTAGAAGAGTAGATTTAAATTTAATCATTTCAAAGAAAAAAATTAAATACAATAAAATGTGTGACCGTAGGGTCGGCACCTCTTCAGCGCCCTGTCAGGATGACACCACCGAGTCTCTAAGGGACTCGGAAAACGCGACTTTATGTCACGAGATTCGCGAGCGGTAGCGTGTGAGCGCTTGGATTCGGAGTAGAGGTGAGGAGAGAGAAACGAGGAAGTGATTCACTCGATTCCAGATTAATAAACAATAACAAATTTATTTTAACGAGCAGGAGTACATGATATACGATCATAGACATCTTGGATTGATATATATACATCCATATTCTATATCCCTAGATTATTGAATCTAACTGTCGCGAGAGAGAGAGAGTTACAGGATATTCGCGTGTGGATAAATACCTTATAGAGAGGTCGAGGATTGATGACTGGATGATTCTCCGTCAGGATTCTTGGGATGTTGGATGGAATGTTCTTGATATTTAGAGTGTCCAGGTAACAGGAGCAACTTCGGAGGGAGGTATCCGACTGGTGTTGAGGCACTTAGGTGGGTAAGATATACTTATGATAAGGTCGGCGGATGCACGATATTTTGCACGGTATAAATTCTTGAGCGGACGAACTTTGGAGGACGACTGACTTCGGGATCTCTTTCTTTTTCCTTTTTCATTCCTCTTGGGTTTTTCCCTGAGGTCAGGTGATGGCCTTTAACGGTCGCACGTCCAATATGTCTTCTCCATCAAAAGTTCCTGGTGACACATCCCTGACTAACTTGATCTGATTCAACAAGGAACAAACTCCGTGGGAAATAAGTTTTATGGCTTTTAGCCTAACGTTTCGATTTTACTTGCTTAAAGTTCCAATAAATAAAATTGAAAATAACACTTTACTGAGGGTTAGTTCGGCCCTCACAAATGCAAAAAACAATAATTTGATGAATGATGTAATAAATTAGTATGTAAAATAGTTTCTCTGCTCCAGCTACTACAAGGTTAGTTAATTTCCTATTGATGCTTGACTAAATGCAAGTATATAGTAGAATTTTAAATATGAAATTTGGAAAATTGGTTATCTTGAACCAGTGTGTACAGTCACACCACTAGGACTTAAACCAATTAATAATAAGCTGGAATAATCCTATTAATTACATTTTTCAGTTTCTCTTTTTTGTTTTAGTTAGTTGCAGTTAGATTCTGATCTTGGTTTTATTTTTGTTTTTCTATTGACTGTTTTAAGATCAAATTATGTTATAGAAATTAACAACTGCTACTTTACATAAACTGGTTAAAACTAGAAATTAATAAACACTTCAAATAACCTAAAAAGCCAACAATTTGTTGCTGGCTTTTTAGGTTATTTGCAGTGTTTATTAATTTCTAGTGCAAATGTTGCAAATGTGTGCAAAGTGCAAATGTTTATGCTCATGTTAGATGGGCATCATCAGGCGGCAAACTGTTGAGAAAACATGGGATTGCCGAGCACATGTATAGGGGGAAGGGTGTATGATGTAAGACAAGAGGGAAAGGGAGACTTTATACTTTGTAGAATGACTTCCAGGCAGTGAGGAAGGAGTCAACGTCGTGATAATTTATGACTGAGTTATGGCAGGTAACCTTGTAAATTTCCACCTGTTCCAGATGTTTAAGGACATATTGCTTAGAGGTGTCATGTAAGAGGTGTGTCTTGTGGAAATCTAACTGGATTCATATACAGCCAAAGCTGTATTGGTTTAACCTTTTTTAATGGACATTTGATGCTCTTTGAGATGGGTGTAATGGGCAAGACATAGCTCCTATGAATTTTAAGCTGCAGTTGTAGCAAAGATCAATAATGAGGACACTGTAGATGCCTGGCAAATGGTTCTTGTTGGGACGGTGTTTGGCATTGTGGAGGAGTGAGGCAATGTAGGGACTTCTGCAGAATGCCAGCCAAAATTTGTTTCTTTGTACAATTTCTTTGTATAGGGTGGCAAGAGACTAGTTGTAGGTGACGGTCTTGAACTATTTTCTTCGTGAGAGGGTTTATTTAGTTGGATGGGTGGAGGCAGTGTCAGAAAGACTTTGAATAAGTCCCCTAATAGTATGTGGGGAGTGTTACGGAAAGATCTGGCAACACCAGAGAGAGAGCGGCAGGTGCAAGATGGACGGCTCTGTTTAATGTATGCGACTGGAGATCGTCCGGTCCAAGTATAACCCTGAATAAAATATTCAGAGTAAGTGTTTGTATTCCTGTCTTACTGGGGGTCTTAAGTGCGTCACGAACGACGGGTAAACACAAAGAAAACCATATAAAACATGGTGGCAGCGGATAATTAAGCCAGTAAAGGCAACGAGGCTTAACGAACACGCGCCAGCTTAACAAGTAATTAGAAACTTCGTTTAAGTTAAAGGTTGACGCTGCGGCAGACAGACAGTCTCCTTTATATAGTAATATAACGATTACTTTAAAGTAATAGAAAAAAAAAAGGAAAGCGAGATGAATAGTTTAACTCCTCCGGAACCATTTTCTATGGACACGTCGAATCCAGAAAATTGGAGTCTATGGAAGCAACGATTTGATATTTATGCAACGGCTATAGATTTACCTGCAAAAAGTATTCCACAGCAGAGAGCCATCCTGCTCCATATTATCGGAGAAAAAGGCTTAGAAATATACAANGCAAGATGGACGGCTCTGTTTAATGTATGCGACTGGAGATCGTCCGGTCCAAGTAGAACCCTGAATAAAGTATTCAGAGTAAGTTTTGTATTACTGTCTTACTGGGGGTCTTAAGTGCGTCACGAACAGCGTGAAAACACAAAGAAAACCATATAAAACAGCATGGCGCTCAAACAAAAGACGAATCAACGAGATTTGAAAATCGCGTAACTCCGGGTTCGCGTAAGTCGGGGTAGCGTAAGTCGAGGTATTACTGTAATATATGAAATTAGATGCAGTTTATAAGAGAATAGTAGATTATACATACATATAATACATATTTAAAGCAATTGTTTTACTCAGTGAATAGATATGACGTTGTTTTGTTGCGGTGTAACTAAACTAAGTTCAAAATTAACAAATAATTGATATTAAATAGAAAACACTTTTTCTTTCTTTCTTTCCTCTAAGGGTATTGGCGATCGTTTTAATATGTTTAGACGGACCGCGTGGAATATTTTAAATAAAGTTGTTAATTCTTTCTTACAAGTTATTGTTAAATGAAAATGAAAAATGATCTCTTGGCCATCACACAGCAGGATGATGTAAGAATAATGGAATTTTTTATACCCAATCTGGTTTTCCTGGAATTAGAGGCTCTATTGATGAAAAGCGTATGGCTATTAAGAATCAACTGAAAAAGCGGTAGCCTATTTCAATAGAAATAAGTATTACTCTGTCATCATATAAGTTTAGTTTGTAATGAAAAAATGGTATTCAAATGATACAATTTCTCGAGAAGTCATTTCCCATATGTAAGTGAAAATTCATTCGAGTATACGAACTTATGTAAATTTGGATTATTATTAATGTTGTTCATTTCTTTACGATTTATTTAATGCTCCGAACATAATATTTCTGAAGATTCCAAATGCGTATTAGGTAAACCTCACTTTTAATCATAAACAATGAATCGAACTTAATTTTTTTCACATTAATTAACTCTGTTTATGAAAAAGTCATCTGAAGCTATTGAACCTTACAATGAAAAAAGATCATTGTAAACATTTTACACAACAAATAATTGAAATTTTCCGATAAAAATACTTTATGCCGTTTATTTTTCGAAAACTAATTCCATTTTCAGTACTTTCTACGGAAAGTAATTTTTTCATGAGGTCAGCCATATTGAATTAGCGCAAAGCTCGATAACGAACTAGCTAGCACTCCGAGCTTACCAATTTCGCTAAACATGACGTCATATAGCTCTAAAGTAAACGCCAATAAGCGTGGCACTCGGACGAAAGTATACAGGCTGAGCGTGATGTTAGTAAAATTAGCTCAGAAGTAAACGCACCCTTGAACGTCGCTTTCTCTTAACACTTCTATCAACGATGGAAATTTTAAGCTTTAATCTTGTCCCTTTCCCCCGTGGGGAGGAATTTCGAAAAATCCCTTCTTAGTGTGCGTTCTCGTGACATACCCTAACTGTGTACCAAATTTCAACTCCTAAGCGTTTGGGCTCTGCGCTTATTATTATTATTGTTAACCTATCGCGATTAGATACACTCTATCTGTCCTTCACCACTGAACACTGGTAGTTAATTGAGGATTCGTGCTTCATCAACGGGCTGATCACGTGTATTTTTCGCGTTTTTTTCGCATGCTTAACGCCTAAGTAAGGTTAGTTTCTTATAGAAAGTCCTCTCGAGAGGCATACTTGCATTTAATTCACTATATAACAGAGAATAAAATATTTATAATTATAACTCACTTTATTCCGGGTAGAAAAGTCTGGAAAATTTCCATATTTTATCACATATTTGCGAAAATGACCGATTTGAAACCTCCATTTAATTGAAATTAAATAAAACATTGTTATTTTTATTAAACAATTAAATACAGAGAAATACAATTTACGTAATTATCGAGGCAAAAATACGATATAGGATAACGTAAATCCACGAACATAAGAGGGTACAGAATACAACTCGATACTATCTCGTTATATATCCTATAATTTTTTCAGAAACTGTGCACGTGTTAACATTTACAGGACTATATTTACGCATGAATTAAATATAGGATTGCCAGATTTCACGATTTTATCTCCAAGTACTTGGCAATCCTAATTAAACAAGTTGTAACTAAGAGCCTAACGCTATGAGAATGCAGTTTAAGTCTCACGCAAGAACTTCTTATACCGTATCTCGTAGGATCACAACTCTAAATACGATCCTGCTTAGTCTTAGTCTTCTTGAAATACCATAAACATTTCGTCGATATTTTTATACATCTTAATCGTCTTATACATCATTTTGGAAGAATACATGAAGATATTTCTCTACTAAATTTATTGGATTCGTGAGACATCCTTATTGTATGCGGATTTTTCATGCTTTACTATCAAATAATATGCTCAATCCTTCAGCGAACGTTTTTACTTTATACTTATTACGAAATCGATTTTTAATATGTGCTACAAATGTGAAGACATAAAGACGGACTTCTGTGTTCCTCTAAATCTTGTATAAAACGGAGAAACAATTCGTTCTTTGTATCCCAAAATGGTTTCCCTAGCTTTATCCCAAAAATAAGGACCTTGCAATCTATACTGATAAGGCAAACTCGGACCCATCAACAAAACCCAAAACAAAATGGTATCAAAGAGAAGAAACTTCAAAAAATTCGGTTTTGCTCCTATTAAACACGCGATCTCGTCTAGATAATTAATGTAATCCACTTGAATTGTATGACGTTTAGAATTATAGTAACGTTTTCTTATCGTTTCCAAGTTCTTGTGGATGTCCTTTATCATCTCGTCCACCGTCGGAAGCGATACCTTCTTCTTAAGTACCTGTACGAACCATCTACTTTGCATCTCGAATATAGGAAAGAATCCACCAGGAGATTGTATCAGACCAATAGCTACTAAAGTTGGGTGCTTCAGTTTTGGAGGATACATGAATTTATATAGTTCCAAGTGATTATCGGTAGTATCAATTATCTCTTTATCTAGGAATGGGAATTTGATATCGTACCCAGTTGCGAATATAACATTGTCGACTTCAGTCACCTCGGATTCACCTTCAAAAACAACCCCATTTTCTTCGAAACGTTGAATATTACCCTTTATTTCCACGGTACCGCTTATTATTTTATTAGGTAGAGAATCATTAACCATGGGGTGCTGCTGTAAAAATCTATGCCTAGGTTTCAACTGATAGGTTTCGTGATCGAATCTTTGATTTACAATTCTCTCCATAAACCAACTCGATACAGTAAGAGGTACAAAATTGAACAAGATATTGAAGAACCTAGTGATGTTAGCGTCATCAATTGGAAATCCGTTATCTCCGACTCTGTGTATCACCCAACACCCTGTTCTTGTACTGAGATTTACCTGAATGAAAGTCAAAAATATTAAAATAAATTTTTATAAACGCTTATCATTACGGTAGAGTACAGATGTACTTGTACTTGTTGACGACAAACCCGATATCATCTGTTAGTCTATATATAACTAATCTATTATTCAAAGGTTACATCTAAACTTGATTATTGTTAATAGCAATTATTTAGAAAATTGTGTATAGTGGATGAAAAATTGAAAATATTCAAAAATATGACTTACTTTTCTTGCTACAGAGCTTGTTTCCACAGCAGCATCTCCTCCGGAATTTCCAACACCTACAACTACTACTCTCTTATCTTCGTAACCTTTAGAACTTTTATAACTATGAGTATGAGAGATTGTTCCTCGAAATTTCTCTTGACCGGGAAATTTAGGCATGTAGGGAAACAGGTGATGACCACTACATATCATAACTGCATCCACGATGTCCTCTATCATGTCATAAGTGCATAGGTTGACAGCCGTTAGTTTCCATCTCCCTGTTGAATCGTAGTCACTCGCAGGCTCTAGTTTATCCACTCGATGATTAAACTTCATATGTGGAATCAACTCAAAATTTTCGGCATACAACTTCAGATATCTAAACATCATAGTGTTGTGCATATAATTAGGGAATTATTTCGGGGGAGGATAATGGCTATAAGCTGTTAGCTCCTTGCTGGTGTTGATGATAGTCGATTTGGCTACCGATGCTAAACCTTCTCCATCTTCTTCCCTGTATCTCCATAATCCTCCTATATTATCGCTTCGTTCGTAGCATATCACTTCCAAACCACCCTCTTTGCACGCTTTAATGGATGGGAGGCCACTCGCCCCCGATCCTATAACTGCTACTCTCATTTCTGATATAAACTAAACTTCGACAGTTTGTCGTCACACAGTACAGGTATACCTCGACTTACGTCGTTTCGAGTTACGTCGTTCCCGATTATACGTCGTTTGTCAATCGTAACGGAAAAATATACGCAAAAGTATACGGAAAAATAAAAATCAAGTTTAAGTCATTTTATTCGACTTTACGTCCGTCCGCCACAAATATTGAAGACGTAATATCATTAGAAAAGCGTTTAAAGCACATAAAATCATATTAAAATATATACATTTACAAGTATGTACTGTATTTACAGTACAGTACATGCATTCGTAAATTTAAATTATTTTTTTCTGTACTCTATTAAAAACTAAAATTTATTTGTTTGTAAGCTTAAAATAGATTCTTATTAACCATATATTATTAAAAATGCATTAATAAATAAAATACAGAACTGGGAATAGTAATTTATGGTTTAGCCTAGTGACAAGTAGATTCCGAGACAAGTAAATTCGACTTAAGTCGTTTTCCTGGAACCAATTATCGACGTAAGGCGAGGTATACCTGTACTTATCAGTGAATTTCTTATCGATTATCTCCTTTGCTATAACACTCTTAACGGTTTAATTACAAAATATAAACAGATCACTTCTAAGAATTCAATTACGTAAATACTAGCAGATAAGCCCGGCGTTGTCCCGGTATAAATGACCTCGAAGATTCTTTGTGGGAACAGTAAGCGTCTAAATTGAAATGGCATCTGTAGAGTTATTAGAGGTATCCTAGGAATAAATAACAAGCAGTAAGAAAGTAAATAGACTTACTATATCATTCCTGATACCTAAGAGACCGAAAGTCTGTTAGAATATATAAAGTCTTCTAAAAAACGAAATACATACGCATATGCATGCAGTACAGATTATTACAGTGTATAATTGTTGCAATGAATAAAATGTTTCTATTATCTAAATAAATAAAATTACTTGTCCTGACTGACTTAGTCACCGATTCATCATCGCCCAGAGCAAACCGTTGAACCTAAAGAGGTGAAATTGGGTACACAGTTACGGTACGTCATGGAAACGCTCACTAAGAAGAGATTTTTCGAAATTCTCCAGCGGGGGAGAGAGAGAGAGCATTAAGGCTTAACCCGAAAAACGAATTTTGAAATTGATTTCATACTTATCCTTAAATTGATAACATTTCAGACATTGTTATAAATATTTTCATATATTTCGATTTTTAACCAAATGTTCGAACCGTTTTAAATTCGAATTTGTTATTGCATATTAATTCGATTATAGAACGATTGTAAACGTTGCAGAAAATTGATCAAATTGAAAACAGTTTGTTTGATTCTCGGCAATTCTCATCATTCTCAGCGGTAGGGTGTTATATAACAATTACTATGGTTGTTGAAATACTGAATATAAATGGGGTTCGCTTGCAAAACCTCAGCGGGCGAAGTCGCGGGTAACAGCTAATTTACAATATTTTTTCTTTTAATTTATGTGTGTCCTTTTTATTGTAAAAAAGTTGGTCACCTTAATAAATAGGGACGGACTACTTTCCACAGTTACTCTTACCGGGAGGCATCCTCTCTTCGTAGATCACCTACGTGTTGTTATAACCAAATTAACCAAACCACTTACTAGTAAGTGATACTGTACATCCAGGATTGTGGAGTCGCGTAAAAATCTACCGACTCCTACTCCGATCAGGGCGGACTTGTTACCGAAAGAGATCGGAAATTCTGATGTCATCACGTGACCTCAGAATAAAATATTTAATAAATAGTTCTAATAAAGATAGAGCGTAGAAACTTTTTATTGCAAAGCTAAAAGACTTCTTTAAGTAATATATAAATATGTATTCGATAATTTATACTTTACCGGCTGTTATATTTAACAGAGGAAACGTGTAGCGCTCGGTCAAAAAATGACCCCTCCGAAAATTTTACATTTTTGGACTCGGGACACTGAAATTTCGAGATATTCAATTCAATTCATTAAGCGTATAAGGCTTTCGCCTGTTACAAGAGCGATGTTTGTTGATAATACAACATATTAGTCCAGAATGATTCGTTTAGATACCTTTGAACAAAACTATTAAATACTGATTATATATCTTAAAGTTTTAACTTTGTTTTTTATAACATATATTTACAATATCACGAACATCTTTCGCCAACAAACCTTTAAGAATATTATTGTTTCACTAACTCTAATACTTCGCGCTAATTAGTTTATATCTAACTGGTTCACACTTTTGTTAACGTAAGACATTAATCACAATTTATTTTAAAAAAATGGTTCATATAGTTATATATTTTAAAAATAGTATTAATATTTGCTCTATCGAGGATCTTATACATCTCAGATTCGTTGGAACAATTGGTTATTATACTTATATCATATCTTCGACTGATCTCGTTTACTTTATCACATTCACAGAATATATGGAATTTAGATAATGATTTATTACATCTTGGGCATATGGTTCGAGAGTAATCCAGGAACTTACCATTGAAAATAATTCCATTTTTTTTTTAGTCTGAGTTGTACGAAGAATTTTTTTACATTAAATGCCAGGTTAGTGAACATATAATTATCATTCATTGGGTAGTTTAAAATTATTTTGTACCAGAATGGGTTTTTCGTTTTTGTATATCTTCGATATCTTGCACAAATTTCGAGATATGCAAAAGATTCGAGGTTTTTTTCTATACGTGTGGATATCAGACTGTGTGGGGGTATAATTTTGTTCACCGTGTTTCAAGCCTAATAATTTCTGTGGTCAGAGTGGTCGGAATCGGAATCAGAGAGTTTAACACAGAAGTTATTTATTAAGCGTCAAAGTGGTAGAACTAAATCGTGTCCCCATACAAATTCTAGCATCTTAGGCGAGGACATCACAACGGGTTTTACCGTACTATTATAAAATGGCAAAAAAAGCTTACTTTGAGGGTAGAGACGAGTTTTATTTTATTTTTTTAAATTTTGAACGCTAACAACGAGTAAAATATTCATTAAGAAATATGACACATGAACACTTATCTATTCACCTTGTCGACCTTTAATTAAGAATTAAATAGTATTAATGCCACTTTATACGCGAGCTACAGTACCACATTTCGTTTCTTAAATTTTATTTTCTGTTCTGAGATATTAATTAAAACAATATCTCAGAATCGGTAAAGAAATTAAACAAATTAGACGTCAACACACACGCGCGCGCGAATTTTCCCCTTTTATTGACTTTTTGGAGCGGTTCGGGAGGTCTCCAAACGTGTCGATTTGCAAAAAAAAAAAAAAAAAAAAACTTGGAGGGTCAAATTNAAAAAAAAAAAAAAAAAAAAAAAAAAAAAAAAAAAAAAAAAAAAAAAAAAAAAAAAAAAAAACTTGGAGGGTCAAATTTGACACGATTCGAATACTTTTTCGTTTTATATACGTAACAAGTTGGTAAGTAAGGAAGAGTCGGAGGATTTTTTGACGACTCCGACTCCAGCTAAAACACCAAAACTCCACGACTCCGACTCCACAGCCCCGTGTACATCACTAACTTACATCACGCAATCACCTTGATACTTAAAATAATGAGTGATGTAACTATCAAATACCAATCAAACAGCCAAATTCTTTCTCGAGCCTTAAGGCTAAATAATATTTTAAAATTGAGTTAAATATAATAATTACAAACAAATTAATTTAAGAAAAGATGACGTCCTACCGCCTGCCAAATTGCTTAATAATTATTTCACTTTATAGCCTTTTCTAACAATTATCGAGAGATGACCAGTTCAGAATAGTTTAAGTAGAAGTAATTGGCGATCAGGCAACGCGCTTTTTACATCCCGTGCTCCTAGTGTTAACAGAATGTAAAAAGTAAAATATCTTTACAATTCTTCAACAGAACAGTCACGGTGCTTACATTGGCTGATGGCGAATTACTTCTATTTAAACTATTCTGAACTGGTCATCTTCCGATAATTATTAGAAAGCATAGAACATGCATATTAAGGGAACAGCAGCGCAGGAGTTTACCCTAGCGGTTGAATTTCGAAAAAACTCCGAAATCGAAATCACAAATCCAGGACAGCAATTTTGAGATTTCTCAAATACTTTCGTGGAGCTCTAAATTCCTATTTAACTATCATCATCACGTATTTAACATTTAGAAGCAAGATAAGACAAAAATAACTTTTAAATTATGAATTTCCCCTCCATTATTTTGGAGAACAGAAAAATCGCAAAAACTTTGAAATTCAAAAACCAAATATTTCCTCGTGTACACTATTTTAAAAAATCCCTATTACATTTATGAATTGAACACAAATGTGTTTTTACAAACCTTCCAATTTAATTTTTCAAAAACAAAATATAAAGAATGTTACGTGACAATTTGCACTTTATCAAAAATTTTCCTTTACAACATTCACATAAGTAGGTCCATGAACAAAACAAATAATTTCAATGAAAATGCTACACAATTATTTGAAAGAACATTGTTTATAAAGCAAAAAATTTAAAGCAACAAAGATGAAACGATATCGATGCAACTAAGTTAACAACGTAGAAAACACGAAATTATCCTTCCACACCCTCAAATCTTCTTGTAAATAATCTTTTACGTTTCTGTCTTTTCGATATTGCGGCGTAACACGCTAATGTCATGACAAAATCTCGATCGTCGGTCTCTTCGTCTATCTCTTCGTCGTCAGAATCTCCCGGTTTGAACATGGCATTATATAACTCTGCCATCTCCTTTTCGTGGTCGACGGCAGCATCGTGCCTATCTGAATGAAATTAATTAGTGAACAATTAATATTTGAAGAAATTAAACTAATAAACTATACTTAAATCAGTCACAAGCGAGATTACGTTTATTAAACGAACACCAAATTTACATTACTTCGTACTCAATCACTTATCAGATTAAACTGATTAATTTTTAAAAATTTATCTTTTACTTTTACAAGTTAGCAACTTCCTGTTGAAACTAAAAGTTTGAATCCCCGCTTTTACCCCATAATTTCCGAAAATCTGCTATTAACTTTACACAAATCTTAATTTTACTGCATATTATTATACAAAGGTATTCAACAAAATATTAACTCTTAAACACTAATACGGCATAACAGATTAATAGTGGGAATTTACACCACGATTACACGTAATGAAAGCTTTAATAACCAGTGTCGTTAGAGTGACTGGGTTTGTGACGTGTAAATATGTTCTTTATGCCAATATAACGCACGAATATGATACTAAAAATTAATAATATTTATTTTTCTACTTAGAAGCGACTAAAATAAATCAATAAAATTGGTTCTTACCTCGCGGTTCGTTATAATCGAGCATACTTCCGAGGTATTGTCTGAAATATTTCGTGTACACATATTCGTAGAATTTCGTAAATAATAGTAAAGCCGTAATCATGTTGTTCGATTAAACGAAGTATAACAAATTTGACTGGGCTAAATTTCCGGATAATTCAACAATAACGCCTCACCCGGTCCTTCCAGCACCGCTTCACCAACTGACGAATCCAACTGCCAGCATTTTGCATACCACCAACTGGAACGAATAATTTAAAAAATAAAAATTAAATGTTTCGTTAAAATATATTTTTATTTTTCTAAAACTTAATTTAACCTCGGATAGATTTTACTCGATACTAGTTTGAAGAATTTTATTTAAAAATGTCCTATCGATAAGGTCGACTGATAAGTAAGTGGCAAATATATTTTAAGCTTTTGATTTTGTAAAACAAACAATATTTTCACTCATTCCAAATTAATTTACAGTCATAAATGTTACGACTGTAAATTAATTTGGAATGATTGAAATTAGTCACAATCAGTGACGCACAAAAACCGTTCAAAAGCAGTAAATCCGTGTTGAAGAAAATTGTAAACAAAACATTACTATTCTCATAAACATGTGCAACGTGTTTATGAGAATAGTAATGTTTTCTTTGTAATGTGTAACACACATATATGTGTGTGTTCTTCGCAAATACGAGCTTGCAGACCATTTAAAAAGATAGAGGAAATTCTCACCGAATCTGGATCCTCTTGACGGATGCACACGTTACTGTCCGATTGTTACTGCATTACACTGAGATCTACTATGATTACAGTAGAGCGTCGTTTATCCGAAAGAATTCCAGTCGGCAAATTTAAATTTTCGTTATGCTGTGGCGCTGCCGTCTTTGGCTATATCTTGGGCTACTCCAATATTTTTTTTGTTGATGCGTGTTTTTTAGCTGGCAGCACTGGCACTTTTGTGTGGCGTTTTTCTGAGGATCGTGTGTCGTGCCGAATCGAACATTTTTGATACTAGATTAACTTCTAAAGTATACTTTTTTTTGTTTTTATATAATTCAATATACAGTAGAGTGTCGATTTTCCGAATTAATTGGGGACTGGGGTTGTCCGGATAACTGATATTTCGAATAACTGATTTACGTACGAAAAAATAGTTTAACGTATCCGATGACGAAATTTTTCTTTGTTGCGTGTCGCTTCGCGTTGAATTTTCGTCGACGTTAAGCCTAACAAAGACTATTGTATCGTTAAAAATTATTTTTTTATTTTGTACAAACAAAATAAATATATTGAAAAATATAAAAACAATGAAAAATTATACTTCAGATGTTAATTTAGTATCAAAAACGAAAAATATTTGAGTAGCCCAAGACATAGCCAAAGATTGAAGCGCCACAGCACTGGCGAAAATTTAAATTTGCAGACTGGAATTCTTTCGGATGATTGACTTTCGGAAAATCGACGCTCTACTGTATTTATTTTGTTTGTAAAGAATAAAGAAATAATTTTTAACGATACAATAGCCACGATTATTATTTTAAAAAGTTTTTGTTAGGCTTAACATCGACGAAAATTCAATGCGAAGTGACACGCGACGGAGAAAAATTTCAACATGGGATACGTTAATATATTTTTTCGTACATAATCAGTTATCGGAAAAAATAAGTTATCCGAACAACCCCAGTCCCCAATTGATTCGGAGAAACGACGCTCTAATGTATTTACGTATTGCTTTGAATATTCTCTCATTCATATTGTTTCATTATTTACCTGTATTAAATACAAGGTGTGACAAAAGTTCGTAGACTTTTAAAAATTCATATAAAATCAACAAATTGGCGTATTACAGTAGAGTTTACGAGAACCCGGGGCGGAATGGAAAAGACGATTTACATCTGAAAGAGAGGTGAGGGGATCGGTTGGCTCGCTGTCCTACACTCGGACTGCGACAACGCGTAAGAATAGTCGGTTACCGAGATTCGCTGCGTCGTCCACCAATATAACTTCGCGTCGTGATTTTTTGATGAAATTACGAGTGTATCGACATTAAAACAATGTAAGAATATGGTAAATTTTATAATTTAACCAAATTTATATAGTTTACTTTATTAAAGATTTGTTTGTTTGTATTTTTAGAATGAAATAACGCGAAACGGGCACAATGGGATAGTACCCCGTTCTGCCCCGTATACACATATACCATACGAGCAGTATTTATATATTGATCATCTCGCAGTTCAGAATGCTTATATTGTAAAATACATTCTTATAGCTTTTCTTTTGTTGTAGATGGTCCGAACATACAAAAGAAAAACTGACTGTGTTGGCAGACAGAGTCGATGGAACGTGCTGTAAATGCGGTGATTTCTGGGGAAATGGGATATCAAAGAGCGGACCTTGTCTTTTTCTGCGCCATCGAACGCTTTAGAAAGAGATAACCCTAACATTATGATTGACAAAAAAGCAGGATAGTCCATACGATTTCTACAGTAGAACAAGAACTGGAAATTAAATCATAAAAAATGATAGTTACACCGAATAGCAAAAAAGGCTATTCGGTGTAACTATCAAAGAACTTCGACGATTGGCTTATAAATTTGCCGAAAAAAAAGTAACATTACCAATGCATTTAACAAAGATTTGGCGATAGCGGGAGAAGACTGGGCAGCAAATTTTATGAAACGCTATCCGGAACTGAGCATTAGAAGGCCCGAAACTACATCGGGAGCTCGAGCAATGGGGTTCAACAAAGTCTCCGTTTCACAGTTTTTTGGTTTTCTGACTAAAGTCATTCATGAGCACCATATAACTGCAGAGAAAATCTACAACTGTGGCGAAACGGGAATCACCGTAAATCCCAAACATTATCAAAAGTAATTGCAGCTAAAGGACAACGGCGAGTCGGCGAGTCGGAGTTTAAACTTCGGCAGAGAAAGGCGCCACAGTCACTGCCGAGATTTGTTTTTCAGCCGGTGAGTCTATATGCTACTAATGCTAATATTTCCGCGTAAGAGGAAACAAAAGGAATTTGATGTTGGTTTACCTCCTGGGGGGTGGCTGAATCTAAAAGGAGAAATGTCAAGAACTGTGCTCACCGTAGAAACCGAGTAAGAGCTAATAGCCAAGACAAAAAGTGGGCGCGAGATGTCTGATGTTGCTAGGCAGTATGGCTCGAACGGGTCTACAGTAGGTACAATCTTTGCCATGAAAGATATATCGAAAAGAGCTGCTAATGGAGTAATAAAAATCACATCTGAGAAATAAAGAACAATTTAGAGCTCATCATGGAACTCGAAACTGATCTGACGACAGATGAACTCCGAGAACTCTCAAATGAAGAATACCAAGAAACTCGGCGAAGTGTGTTTTCTTTTGAAAAAGAGGAAGACGAAAGAGGGTCAATGTCGACATCCGCTACTAAAGATGCTTTAAAGAAGTGGGAGGATGTCGGAACAACGATCATCCGAGTGGCATCCAAACCGGAATAAGGTTACCGGGGTTGGGGATGTCTACAATTACAATAGTCTACTATTAATTACTTCCGAAAAATCCCGAAGAAAAGAGAAAAGCAATCGACATTGGACGGATTCTTTAACCCCCACAAACGGAAAAAACACGACTAATAAAAATGCCGGACTGCGTATATATGTATTTTTATTATTACACATAAACGAACGTAGTAAGAAAGTATACATTATTTATTTTTGGAGTCTCCGGAACGAATTAATCAAATTCCCCGTAAAAACCTATGGTAAATCGATAATCGGTTAATTAACGAACAATTCGGATAACGAACAAAGTCTTGGAACGGATTATGTTCGTTAACCGATCACTCACTGCACCATCAAAAAGAATCGAGCACAAACTCTGGTAATTCCTAGGTTTGTCGCTATGCTTTGCTGGCGCTCGATTGGCCATTTTTTCAATTTTATATAGTAAATAGATAAAAATAGGAATTCATTATTATTATTACAAATAAAAATAAAAATATACTGAATTATACTGTAACAATATAAAATATATATACTAATTTATATTGTTAATTTAAATAATTGCTAAGGGCGCCCATAGTAGCCGTTTTTGGCATACCGTGACAGAACCCAATTTTTGAATTTTATACAGTAGATAATAGCTCTAGAACTTTTTCGCTCTCGGCATTATTTATCAATCAATCTCAAAAATGTTCACTCGAGATAAATACAATAACTATTTCGAATATTTCGTACAATTACCTGCAGAAATTAATGAGTAACGATTCGAAAACCGGTCATAAGTACACGTACTGCCATCTAGCGTGATGACGTCACTTTTTTAACTCCTCGAAGATTTTGCTAATTAACTAATTATAATTTAAAGTCAGTTTTTGAATCTCATCTCATATCTCATAGAGGAGTGTTATTGCTATTCGCTTTTCACTCCAGAAGAAACAGTAAGGAAGAGTCGGTCTTATAGAAGACGACCAATCCGAGCAAGACAGGATAGAGGTCACTAAGTAACCAAAGCCGGTCTTATAAGAGACGACCCCCGCGAGAAAGGGAGACAGAATGCCTTCCGGGAGGACTTGTCAGTTTTTGAAATATAATAGTAAACTTCTTATAGACAGAAAGTACTAATTCGTGTGTCGCCATCTAGCGAAGAGAGGGACAAATAGACAGAGAAAAATGCGTTGCAGTTTTATTTAATTAATAAAAACTCTGTAGGCTTGATTAGTGGTAAACATTCTGAGGATCGTAAAGATACTACAGTTAAAATTTCGTAACGATCGGTTCGGTAGTTTTCACGGTTAGTGGTCACAAACGAAAAATACGTTGCCTCTTTATATAGTAGTGTAGATGTAGATGTGCCTTTGGTCGAAAATTTGCGAAATTTGGCAGGAAGTTTAGATATTAGGGAATTAATGCTGTTGAATTTTTATGGTTAAAGGTCGAAGGGTGGGGAGATAGTATGAAACTCGTCTTTTGCATGAAAATTAAGCTTTTCGCCATTTGATAATTAGAAATGTATGGAAAGGTTTATTTCAATAAAATGTCATAACAAATGACGCCACACACAGTTTTAAATGTTTTTGCCGAGAAGTTATTTAATAAAGTATTGAAATAAACTGGTGAAATATAAATGTACAATACAATACTTGCACTCGTAAAATACTCTACGTTCATTAGTGTTCGCTCCTTTTACCTACCTAGTTTGTTATAATAGAGATTTCTCGAGTTTTGAACTATCCTTATTCATAAAATAGGTATAAAAAATACAATGCTAATTTTATTTTTTGCATTTAAGTACGTTTGCCTGTTAAAGAGTAACAAGGTGAAGTTACGCTTCGATTGCAAGTTTAAAATAGAGTCCAAATATCTGATTGATCAGAAAGTTCGCGCACTTTTTGGAGTATATAAACAGGTCGGGATACGTGCTATAAAAAATACCAAATCCAGTCCTCTCACTGTACTTTACCACGACCAACCAACATCGCTAACCAAAGAGCAAGTTCGCCCGCTCCTCGTTCCAAAAAAGCGGCCAATTCTATCACTGACATCAATGCCGCGTTAGGCCAGGATACTGTGGCCAGAAGAACCGCGTACGATTGGTACGAACGCTTCAAAAATGGAGATCCCTAACCCGAGACGATCACGCTCTGTCTTCTGGGATTCTACAGAAATCATCACGTTCGAGTTGCTGCCGCAAAATATAACTATCAACGCAACTTTCTACCGCGAACAGCTCGACGACTGCGGCAAAAACTGGCGGAGACCCGCCCGGAACACCATCCGCTGCGTGACAACGCGCGGACCACATACGGCTGGCAAGGAGTTCAACAATGAAGTCGACTCGGAGGATAGCCTGACCAATTTCTTCGAGTCGCAGCCGCCAGAGTTTTATGGAGATGGCATCCATTTCTTGCATAAGCGTTGGCAGGAAGGTGGTGGTCAACAGCGACGGTGATTACATCGATGATTGAAGTCAATTCTGTACATAAAATTATCTTGGCTAAATGAAATGCATCCAAAAGTGCGAGAATTTTCTGTTCAATCAGATACTTTTTCCTTATTGAAAAAAGGTATTTATAAGTGTAAACGTCTAATTTAAATATGGTACGTAGAGCACTAGTTCTATTTCCACGAAGTTTTCAATTAATACAGTAGTTGGCTATAAAAAGAAGTTGCTAAATTTTAAAATTCCAGCTGTTAATAATTAGAACTGTTGGGAATTATCTTAATGATGGCCCTTACACTTTTGGCTAGATAACTTACGAATTTCCGATGGAACAGTGCTAATTTTTTTAGCATGAGAACATTGAATTAATTGATTTACAACGCGTTAAATTAAGGCTTACGAAAGTTATAAACAATAGAGATCCTACAATCCTGTGTAAAAATATTTTCTGAAAATATCTTTTGAACGATCCACGGTATTTAAGAAGGAAAAAAACGCGTAGACCCGCATTTTTCACGTACGTTAACTTCACAATTTGTTAATTGGAAACTTCCTGTTTTACGCGATTTAATCTTTACGATTGGCCACAGTTATACGAGAAAAATCTATCTTAACAATTGGATGCTTCTAATTAGTCTGCTGCTAAGTAACCGGAACCACCCATTGTATGGGGTCAAGGTTTTCAATTTTGCTTTGTCATAACGTATGTTTCCGTTACACACATTTACGTTAATCATTGGAAAAATATGGGGGAATCTGATGTACAGTACATGCGCTAAAAGAAAACAATTTTTTTTTCATTTCTATAACATTTATTGTAGAAGACACTACATTTCGGAATTAATTCAGTGGCATATTATCAATTATTATAATATTCGGGTTGATCATTGTCATCGTCCCAGAAGAACATCTTCATCATCTGAGTTCCCAGATACTCGTCCAAATCGCTATTGAGGAACATTTCGATCGGATTTGTTTTAACTAGAAGAGAAAAATACGAAAATTAAATAGAGACAAGCCGAAAGAACAATGTACAAATATAAAATTTATAGTGAAGCCGACGTGTGTCCCATTAAAACGTTGGAAATATGCCCACGTGGAAGTAATAAATTGAATTATAAGTTTTAAAATTACGTACATACGAATTAAATTATGAGTAGTTTCTAAAATAATTTTAAAATAAAATAAAAATTATAATTTTTCTAATTTGACACGCGAAACAATGATTTTGTAACTTCGTACAATGGCGATTACTCGGCAGAAAAAAGTATTAAAACAAAGAATATTCTATAACTTAAGGTCAAATTTTACATACGTATACTGTCATGGCGGCACTTCATACTAGTTATTGATACGTGTGTTCAAGAACCATGAATCAATAACTAGTAACGTTTGGAACAAAGCGGCCACAGGAAGGAGTCAGTCTTATGTACAGTACGAACAGTCGGGACGAGCGCCATGACAGTATACGTATCTAGAATCTAACCAGAAGGGATAATAAAAAATACAAGAAATATACAAATTACCTACTTTGCAAATCTACTAACTCTCCTATGTGCTTCTCAAAAAATCTTCTATAGACGTACTTTAACATGTCATTTGCCACTGTAATGAAAGTTATCATCATTCTGCCACGATGTAATTTTCACGAGTACACCAGGAAGACAATCTTTCTTTCTTTCTTTGTTTCCTATAAATCTACCAGGAAGACAATAGACCCGCTCACCCTTTATACGAGCAACGACAGAAGTGCCATCTAGTAGTTGGCATCTGAACGACATTTGCGATAACAAAACACTTAACTAACATAATTAAAATTTAATAGTCTTAAAGAAAATAATAATAATAATTTAAGTAATGTAATTAATACGAACTTCAATTTAATTAAAGATTTAGCCAGTAGAAAGCTACACTTTGTATTAAACAGCGTAATAAATTATCGTAATTTGAATGTTTGCGAAAAGTAAACGTTTGCTTAATGTCGTACGTTTCATCTTAAGATATATTTTACTTTTGTTTTTAATGTTTAATTGTGTAAAATTAATTAATATATTGTTAAATATCGTATTGTTGATTGATTTGGTTTTGGCTATTTATCTGCCGCAACGCTACACGTGGGAGATAATGCCGCCTGGAAGGACTATCTATGGAAACCGGTCCCCATTTAGGTATTACAAACGTAAAGAAAACTTGGAAAACTCCCCGTGGCCAGCACGTTGGCCAGGCGCAAACCCGTGACCAACTGTCAATGTTAAGTAGTTTTATCCACTCGGCCACTGGTGGGCCGTTTTGTCGGTTTAAGCCAGGCATTAGCATACGGGTTACCTGATAGACCAGTTTTGCTTATTACGGCCAGCGCCGGATTTACGTAAGGGCATTTGGGGCCCCACAAAACTATGTTTAAACATTATTTTCTTTTTCTTTACTATAAACTAATTGCTAATGATACGAAATGTGACCGGTGAAAGATCATTTACTAAACTATTCATTATTAAAAATGTAACGAGTATACATTTATCTATTATATATTTCTGTAATTTATAATTTATTCAATTGTATATGCATTCGTTGGCAATAAAGTTACAGACTTCAAATACCGTCGTCCGATTACTGAAAATCTCGGCATACGACTATTTCATGTATGTAAATGATTACAGGTATAACGTGAATAAACGCCAGATTAAGCCATCCGATCGCCTTAAATTCGTTATTTACAGGACAATCGTAGCAACATTAATTCGCAAATCACCATAAATAGTCGAACGTCTGAAAATGGCGTTAAATTGAGTGTAGCGCTAAAACGAAACATCTCAAATAATAAGAATCGTGTAATAACGGGGTCTACACATAAGGTTGAGTTTGAAAATCGCGTAATTCAGTAGTAAAAATGAGATTTGCAAAGCATAATCGTGCATTTAATAATTCATAGATACAGCGAACGTGTGTGTAAAACTACACATTGGGCTTTACCTAGATGAGTTATTCGGGAAGATGCTGTATCGTTTATATATTCGTGTTACAAGTTATATTAGACGTGAAGGTATGCTAGTGAGTAATTTTTGAATTTCTCTGTAAATCTCTTTATTGATATACACATAATTACATACAAAAATTTACAGATTGTAATATCGAATTACATACTCACATTATTATATACATTTTTTGCAATTTATATTGGGAACATGTAAAAATTAGTGAGCAGAATAACAAAATTTAAGAGATATCACGCTTCTGAAAGGACGAAGATTGTTTACACTCCAATCGAAAAGTAAATAAAAAATTCACAAAAAACAATTAAATTTTAGTTAATACAGTAATATTAAACACATAATGGAGAGTAGTTTTCAGCAAATAATTTCACCTAGTAAATTTTATGCTGTATGAATTGCAGCTCTCTTACGTCTGTTCGATTGGTTGGAGTAGTGTAAATATTTGCGTAAATTTCACGTCATTATTTCGAATTTCTTACTATTAAACCGAAGTAATGACATCAAATCGACATTAAATTGTGCCCTATCCCAACCGATCGAACGGAGACTTAATTAATATAATTATAACATTTCATCTAGAATGGCCCTTGAATTACAAGAAATTCGAGTTTATTCGGCGATCCAAAGCAATATAATTTTCACAAATCTGTTACAAAGTATATAATTTTCGTAACTCACTTCATTATCTATCATATACCGTTTGAAATTATGATTTTCATAAAATACAGAGAAATGAATTTTAGGAAAATCTTTCTTCAGATGCTCTTTCACAACATACCCCTTTTCCCTCCACTCGTAGAAAGAAGTATTAATAAAAATCATACCAACGCAGTTACTCATGTTGATGTTTTTCGGTTTTATGTATCTGGCATTATAGTTTGTTTTCGTAACAACGTAACAACACGTACACACCCTATCGCCACAGAAAGCAATTCCCTTAAAATTGGTGGGGAGAGAGTTCTGAATTACACCGATGATGTAACTCCTCGGTAATTTGCTTGTCAGGATTTTTATCATCAGCGATGGTTCTGCAAACAGTAACAGGCATTTTAGTTCTTTTTTAGGGATGTTAAAGAATCCCAAGATGTTCTTCGTGTTGAATTTTCGATTATTGTGTAACCAGTCATCCGTTGATTGAAGCAGTGGTAAGATTTTCAAACCAGAAATTGATGGGAACATTATCACCGTGCATTTAGGTTCTTCGGGAAGTTTGTCTAGTACACGTGATGGATTTATTGAAGAGGAAATTACATATTTTGAGTACGATCCATATCCGTTTAATTTAACTGAAAGAAATAATTAGATACAAAAGATAAAAACACGTGATAATAGAGTATAAACATACCGGACGATCGTAATTAAAAGTACCTCTATTCAACACTGACTACAGAAATATTGAGTGTGAAAATGACTCCAAATCTGGTAGTGATGTTTCAGGATACGTGGATTCGACTTGCCACTCTGGCACTTTCTGCGCTGCAAGCAACGGTTTATATAGCAAAGCGACACACGCGCGATCTGCCGAGAGGGGTAATGTCTCCCGGGAGATCTTTATGAGAAACTGGCCCATCCCGGAAAATTCCACGTGACCAGCTTTTTCGTCATTTGACTTATACGAGACACTTATGTTACGCAGAGACCTTAGCCACGCAGGGAATACTGCCCATTGTGAAAGTGTAAAACGTAAAGGCAATGAGCAGTGTTCGACGGCCGTATTAATCCTCCACGCAATGCAATGCGATACTGTCGTTGTAGGCTGCCAAATTTGCAACGCGTCATTGATAAAACCAAATATTTTACGAACCGATACACGAAACTCTTCCCACTCGGCTCTAAAAAGCGACAGCACTGCCATCTTCCGGCTTGGTTCGGCACAATCGCCGAGGCGTGTTTCTTTCGTGGTTTACGAGGAATATGACGTTTTGTGCGCTTCTTATCGATTTGGATTTCAGAGATAATTCGCCACCCTACAAACTGTAAGTGAATTGACTCATTTTTTGAGATTGCAGGTTTTGAACAGCGAGCAAAGAAACCCGTACGGGTGCTAAACGCTTATTGTGGAGAAAATTAGAGGAGAAAACATGATTTAAAATTTCTCCTCGCGAAACGACTTACTCGGGACTGCATAAAGAACTTATTTTATATTGTTCGCCTTAGGGTTGGTAACAATTACAACCCTGATGCGAGTGAATTACGGACGGTCACGAAAACCATCACGACGAACCACTCGTTGCGGCATCGCACGAAAGTAACTGTGAAATGGACTTTGATAACTTCGTGACGTGTAAAGATCGGGCGGAACGGATAAAGCCGTGTCTGATAGTGAACAAAAAATCGGCACCAGCAACAGGAAAGAAGAATCCATGAAAATGTTTGAGGATTTATCCTTGGATGATCAAAATACAAGGAGCTATGTAGCTGGTTGGGCCGCTAGCAGAGTACTGTACCTCGTGAACTATACAGAGAGAATTTGCAGTCCCAAGAACCTTTGACTGATCCTGGAGATATTCTCCTATGTAGCGCTATGAAAATTCACAATGTTAGGTCCCTTTGATTTAGCAAGAAATTTTAGGTACCACCTGTGTAATGTTTTCACATCAAAATTTAATGATATCGTTATACAGAGTAAACAAAATGTCTTGGTTCATCTACTACAATATGTATGTGTTCCGAAGCACGTGGAAGTTGCGACTAATGTGTAGTGGCGTTCGCAACAAAATATATGTGTGCGCTTATTAATGACGTGGTAAAAACTGCTAACGAACCGTTACGAAACAAAATTCTAGGAAAACGCAGCCAAAAAGGCCAAAAAAGTGTTGCCTAGATGAACGAACTCGCGAATCGTGTATCATATTTACTTTTTTGTATCGCTGTACAGAAGTGATCTGTTACATAAAAATTTCTAGAGTGTGCTGTATAGTCAAAACGATTAAACCAGACAAGCAATAACAATGGAAGGCGTCAATTTTCTTGGAATATAAAAAAATGAGTAACAAATAGCATTAATTTGGCACTGTTTCAGGCCACTACGAGCGATTAATTAATGGAAAAAAAGCTCTTGTGTTTGACATTACGTTACATCAATTTTTGTCATCTACAGATTTATTATAGACTGATGTGTTAAGTATAACATGTCGAGAAGGAAAAACGCTACGCTACTCCACGCCGTTATGTGCTAGGACAGCAGCTATTCGTGTCGGCGGTCTTTGATATTGAAGGGAGGTTCGTGTATTGGTATATAGACTACTGTATTTGATAAACAACACTTTTAAGGTAATCAAAAGTCGCAGGGATTATTATCAGGCTCGTTTTTCGTTGATTGCAGCGTCAAAAGTGCAACAGCGGTGGGTTTTGGTACTAACTAGTTTTTCAAGGAAATGTCTTACCCGTGTCCTGAAATTTCACCGAACAAAGTTTGGTTGAATTTTGATTCCTAGCGTTATTCTACACGGCGTTGGATAAGAATACTTTAAGATTACCCTGTAAATTAAAAAATATATTTTATAATAATAAATGATTTAATGGCAAACTTGAAAGAAATAAACCAAGTAACCCGCTTAAAATTTTCCAACATTTTTCCAATATTATATAAGTACTTTTGTAATATTATATACAGTATATTGGAATTACCTTCTAATGCGTATCTCGTTAGTGTCAACTCAGCTTTTTTTGTCCCGTTTTGATTCCCATTATCGAGGGATTGGTGTAATTGGTATCGTATTTGATTATATCAGAAAGCGTGATACGCTGTAAGAAATGATATTGTTTATATTTATTTTGTTTAAATATACCCGGTAATTCATGTTACAACGCATGAATTCCCTAAGAATATAAGGAATTACGCAAAAGCATTGCATAATCTATTTTAATTTGATCACCCAGCACATATGAATATAACAAGATAGAAGCTTTTCGGTACATTCTTTTCATTACGTATAATTTATACGAGGGAAACGTAATTTCAAAAATAAAAAATTGGTAACACATCCCTGCCGGGATTCGAACCCAGGATTTGAAGTCTATCATTATACACTGCGCTACACTTGTAATATTTGTATCGCAGAATAAAACGAAAAATGTATTTCATCCTCTCCTATGTGCAAACGTATGGCAAGAACTTGCCAACACGCAATCTGTCGCGTAATTTCGTTATTACGCGATTTTGAAATAACACTAGCACCTCGATTATCATCATATTTATTAATTTCGCAGATATCGAGGCAACGTCGAGAGTATGGCCCTTACTAAGGGAACCGAACTCTGAACTTTCCACGACTGAAATACTGCATCACACATTATCCTGTATTTTAGATAAAGAAACTAGAACTTACCGGTGTTCTTGTTATAGTACTCATTATGATAATTAACATCAGTTAAAATCTTCTGAAATATAATTAATCGATGTACTTGGAATATCATGATCGATTGCATGAAATCTCTTTTGATTAATTTCATTCCATCTGAAGACAAAAGAAATTTTCGTTCTCCCTGTGAGAAATTCTTGCGCTACAACGTTAAGAAAACGAAACACTTAATTGAATTTTATGATACATTTCGCACTTTAATCTTTCAAACCAACAAAAATTCAAGTCTTACGTAACAGGAGAACAATATTTTTTCTCTCATCAAGTTGGTTGCCACAATATTCCAAGAGCGACAGACACGCGAACAGCTTTTAAGATCCGTATACGATAAATTCTTCAATATGGACCTTAAAATGGGATACATGGTGCGAAATTTATCGCAGAAAGTCCAATTTCTTTCTTGGTTTCTCGCTTTCTTCAACAATTTCTTTATTATTTTCTTCCCCGAACTCATTGTGTTATTAATCTGTAAATCAATCTTTAATGTGATTCGCACGAAAAGATAAATTAAATCTGATTCTTCTCGCTCGCAACCCGAAACACCATAAATCCTTCACGCCGCTTTAAGTATTACTGAAATACCAGCGTATAATGCTCCGAAATCAATGCGCGTGTCGATGTTTCGATTGTTCAGTGTTAGAGGATCTGACCTACTTAATAGTATATTTGACAAAAATGGACCATGCCACTCAACGTAATAAATTCTTCACCGAAAATGAGCGGTGGGTTACTCACCGTTTTGCTCCGGACAAGTTGTTAAGACAAAATGGCGGAAAGTGCACGGGCAAAACGTTGTACACTTAAGTAAATTTTATAGTGATGTCATCGGCTTGACCGTTATCTTGCGGCACGATCTAACAGTCAGCAAAACTGACAAACCACCTTGGAAACTTTATCATTCTATTTTATTGCCTAATTCAGGCAAATCTACAAAATTTTAATTATTGTGATACAAATTAGAGAATTTATTATAATTAAAGAAATCAATTTTTTTATTTACTTTAATTGCATATTTCCGTATTGAAAAAAATGAGTGCAACATTAACTTGTATTCACGGGACAACTTTTTTAGTATTATAACGGAAAATGAAAACTTTGGTGTGTGTTTGGATGTTCAGTACTTGACTGGCACGAACATCCTAGGTGCTCGTTTTTCGATCGAGGGCATCAAGTTTGAACACTAGTCACATTCTACGCCTTATATCTCTGGTGTAGATAATCAGATAAACCTGGAATTCGAAGCGTAACCTCTATATGTAGAGTAGTGATGTCATTGAATTTTGGAAGAAATAGGTCGAAAGGGTGTGAAGATATGGTAGAACTAGCAGTCGAGACGATTGGAAGCCTACCATTCCGGGTACCGGGAATCGAATCCGGACTGATCGAAACTCTGCAGAAATTTATCGAGGGTGGTCCGTCCGAATGCGTCCAGATCAATCCCTGGCCACCTGGCAACCACATGGTGAATACTGAGCGAAAGCATCCATCTTAGCGGCTACAGGACGAAAAGAGTTAGGACAAAGGGCATATCGAGAGTGGGATTAGACTTGATAAAAACTTTACTTTTTACGAGTTTTTAGCTTATATTAAAGCAATAATGTTGATCTTAAAAACTATTTCAGAAAGTCATCCTCACCTCGAAAAATTTAAATTTCTGGAATCATCGTGATTGAAAGCGTATTACATTTCGTTGAGTAAAACACGATCACGATTAATCAGATTTCAGTGGTACTTGCGCTTTAAAATGAACGATGGCGTATTATTTTCTGTACTGAAAATAAGAAGACGTTGTAACAATGCCTCGCCAGTTCAATAGACAGCTTGCTGACAGTTTTTATCATAACATTTATAAAATACAATCTATTTTATAGAAAGAAAGCTAAAATGAGACAGCAAAGAAAGGAATGACAACTTCATTTTAAACTAAGCTGTCGTAATTATATTCGTCACTGATATACGTACACACGTCGAGCTGTAAACAATTTAATTATAACGGTCTCAAGTAAAATTTAGATATAGTTTTAAAAAGAATTACTGTTAAACGCAATTTCAATTACCCTTTACGTATATATAACTATAGACAAGCCTGCAATAACGGCCACTTTTTCGGGAACGTTTAACAAAAATGCTTATAAAACAACTTCCACTCACAATTTCGTTTTTGTTTGCGTCAGTGGACGTTGTTTAGAAGTTCGACTGCGCAGAGAATGTCTATTTAACTTAGTCTAACTGTTTAATAACACTACAAGTTCTTTCGTGTGGGAGCGTGTAATCAATTGAATAATTAAGCTAGCGTGTGTAACTAGATCATTAAATAATTATTTAATGACGTAGTTACTTAATACGTTTAAATATATTTAATTTATAAACAGTAAACTTTACCTTAAAACTTAAAAGTATTTGGAAAAAATTACCTTGTTTCGTAAAGTTAAAAACAATTCTTTCTGTTCGAGGTGCAGTTTATAAAATATTATTACATGTAAAATATAGATCGATAAATGATGTCAGCATTAAAATTTGCCAGTAAATTTATTTATAATATTGATAAATAATTCTAACGTCATCCCGCAGGAGTATAATTAATATTATATATATTTAGAATTTAATTATTATAAGAATAATTTTGTGGCTATCCGCGCGTATGGTTAAAAAAATACTTATTAGAAATATTTATTTTCTTTTCGTAAATTTATTTAAAATTAAATCTTTATTTTAATTAACAAATATTCGTGAAAATTTTATTAAAATCTTTGGATTTTGAACGAATAAGTCAACGCGATACACGAGAGATCTGCCAATGGAGCTTCTCATTTCTGTAGGATCTTCCGTGAGAAACTGGGACCTTTTTAGATGCTAGACGCGTGAAAAAAACACGGAAAATTCCACCCGATCAGTAAGTCGGTCGGGGGAAACCCACGACCGGTTTTCAGAGTTTTATCTTCTCAGCAACTATTGGGACTATTCCAGATAATGAGAAATTTTAAGAGTTTTTAATTTATCTATTACGATCAGAAATATATTTTCCATTATAAATTTGGGTTTTATAACACTCACTTACCAATATATAATTAATTAGCAGAATGAGAATTGGGTAGAGAGGACATACTATCCACCAAAAATTCCTAAGGGGTCTGACCGAATTCGAACTTGGATCATCACCGAACCTTTACCTCTTTAGCCATTAGATCTTTAATGATTCAGTGTCGTGATTTAAACATCTGGTAGAAAAATAAATCGAATACACCATAATTAGAATTAACTTCGGAACAACTGAGTGAAAAATTTGATGTAGAGTCAGACTAAATGTAAAATCAGAATAAAAATGAATTGAGATAAATTAAAAGCTTACAATTCAAGACAAGCGCACGAGTAAATTCTTTCAACGCGTTGTACGTTTTCACATCGGAAAGAATGAATAAACGATAAATTAAAAGTTGTGTCATTATGTCAGGTCATTATCTCGTTATTCTCTGTAGCGCTGTGGAGAGTGCGTTGGACTTCTACCTCGTATGTCCCAATTCGAATTTCGGCACGGATGCGCTTCTTGGACTTTTGTATCCATAAAATCACCTTTCCCTCGTTAATTACCTCACAAAGTAAGATAATATGGATACTTTCAAGAATTATTTTTTTTATTATTTTATTATTAAATTTAAATGTACTGGATGATCAAATGAAAGTAGAATTTTCAATACTCCTACTTTAGCTCGCTCTAGTTCTCTATAAGTTTTTACATTCATAGCATATTTCCTTATCTCTCTCTCCTTCAATACAAGTATACAAATATATATCCCTTATCTTTCTTTCTCTCTCTCTATATATCTCTCTCTATATATAGGACTATATATATAGAGAGAGAGAGGGAGGAGAAAGAAAGAGAGGGATAAAAAGATATATATACTGTATATTCTACGTCATATTTTGTTACATACAAGTTAATTTATATTTATGGTTGTTGCATATAAGTGTATATATATACACTTATACGCAACAATCATAAATATAAAATAACTTGTACGTAACAAGGTATGACGTAGAATATACAGTAAGAATTATTAAAGTATAAGTAGAGCATTAGACCTTCATTGAGAGAAACTCCTACTGCGACGCACAAATATAATTCCAACTTAAGCGAATTAAAATAATGTAATTTAGTGTTTTACAGCGAATAAAATATTTATGTTAATTTGTGTTTGACGTAGAAAAATCTAAAAACTTTCAGCGAGTCATCACGTATGTGCTCGAGTGAATAAATTTAACGTCTATATTTAATTATAATAAAATAAAACTTTGGCATTTTTCTCACGTACTTTAATATACTGAGTTATTTTCTTAATAAAAAAAAAACTCTTTTTATCCCCACCCTGGTTACTACAAGTTTACTAGTAAATACAAAAAAAGGAAGAAGAATCTTTCCGAACGGTGTAAGTTGGTCACAGTTCGCGCCTCACTAACGGGATGACCACGCGATTTCCAGATTTCCTTCGCCCGTCTAACATCTAAATCGGAGTTCATTCCTTATAAAAATTTTACCGGGCGGCATTTCAGTCGGCGAGTTGCTCACGTGTTGCGTACCATCATCCCGAGCCCATAACTTTCATCGTTCTCTTCTATATTTATTACTACTAACTTAATTACGTAATCGTGAAAATTTTGATATATAAATGAGCCACTTTACGTATACCTCGCAATAATGTATTGCGACATACGTAATGATAGTGCTAGTAATATATCGAGTTTGAAAGTAAAATCGTGAAATACTTCAGTTTAATGAGTCATTTATGTCGTTTTACCACGTAAATTTTATATTTAATTTCGTCATAAACGGTTAATGCTGTCGAACTATTGCTTAGGCATCGTTGCTTCTGTTGATTAGGTAATGATATAAGATGATCTAATTTTACAAAGGGCCCTATAATTAACTGTAATGACATCGAACTCTAAACTCTACTTTGCGTATGAAAACTTAACTATAGTATTTAAACTGTTGCTGTTCGGTAGCCAATAATGTACGAGTGATAAGTGCCATCGGATTCCAACAGCCCACCAGCTACTATGGATAAAACCACCGAACAAAGGTTCGTGGATTCGCACCTTGTCAACGGGCTGACCGGGTGAAGTTTACCTGGTTTTATTAACAGCATTACAGACTCCTGGGCAAAGCAGTACATTGGGCCCTGTCTACGCGACCGGACGGTGATCGAATTCTGGTCTGTGCGTGCGTGGGGGCGTGGGGCTCCGGGTAATTGCCTAGAGTGCACGCGTTATAAACGGCACTGCCCGGGAACCGCAACAGATTGTGCCAAGCGACGTATACAGGCCTAGATATCTCTGTTGTAAGTTACGTGATCTCGATACTTTTTCTGTGACAATTTTCTGCTTTCCGATAAAGTTTTACTCGATGGTAATAATTATATTTAATACATTAACTACACCATTACATTTTTTAAAAATGTAACGATGTAGTTGTAATAGTTACAAATCATTTCTAGTGAAACGCGTAGATTTCTATTAGGAGCAACATCCTTGGGTGATTGTTCAATCGTCGCGAGGGTGTTCAACCTATATCTTAAAAGGATATTTACTCAACATCGTTTTAACAATTTATAAATATAGATACAGTATTATGTTTTTAATGCTAGATTACTAAACAGTGCACCCCGCTTTAACGACTTAATCGGGTCCGAACTAAGCATTTAAATCGGGTCATAAATTTATTATTTTTATTTATAAGAAAAATTTTAGTGTTTTAGTGTTTAATTTTTATAGGCAAACTGTTGAGTTAGACTGAAAATTTAGTTTTTTTATTTATAAGAAAAATAA